TCCAGGCCCCAGTGAGAATTGAACTCACGACCCCTGGTTTACAAGACCAGTGCTCTGACCACTGAGCTATAGGGCCTCACCTGTTACCGAGGTTCAATGACCAACCTTTGAAATGCTAATAACAGGAGAGGACATGCCCTGTTTGCATAACAGGTATTGTTTAAATAGTGTCAGAGCAACCTTACCAGTTGGCTCTGTCAGTGACTTAATGTCTGCATATTGTTCACTGAGCTACAGAGTCAGTTTAAAATACTCAAAAACATGCAATCACATATTAAACAGTGAGAAAAATAACACGTCTGCTGCCTGTCGGGACATATTGGTATAGAAAACCAGATAAACTTAAATCTTTTTGAGTGACAGCTTCTTGAAATCCTTTTCCACGGATTCACTTAAACAATGCATGTTCTTATCCATATCATTTTGGATTTATTTGAAAGTAATAAAGAGATACAGGGGAAGATAGTTATAGAAAGCTTTGAGAAAGAAGCAATGGAGGGAAGAGGGATGAATAGTAACAGTTGTTGTTGCTCGTGGCAGTTGGAGCTGTCTTTCCTTTCCTTCCCTGCTGACACTGATCTGAATTCTCTCCAGGATATTCAGGGCTTCTCTCGTGCCTAACCCTAACCCGCACCAGCTTTTTGTGGTGGGGTTTTGTGTGTTCACTGTGTGTGTTTGACTCTGTGTCTCAGGCCCCGGCTCCACGAGAACACATACGGCAAAACGCATCGGAGTAACGCAAACGCAACCGCAAAAAACCTTCCGACCACACGCAATATACACCGGATTGTGTCAAGCTCCAGGAGACGGCTCCGTTTACATCCAACCGCTGGAAAAGCTGCAGTACATATGCCGAACCTGTACGTGACGCTGTAACTTCCTCCACAAAAAGCAGCAACTTCCTCCACAAAAGCAGCGAAGAAGAATGGTTGTCATGGCTGCACTTCTGTTTATTCTCCGCGGTGGGGGCGGAGGGAACCGCGCAGAGTTTTTCGCCGGTCAATGTGTGTTAAAGTTTAAATCTTCATGCTTCCTCATGCAGCAGCTGATCCAGTAAGTAAACCCGACAGTAAAAATAAACATATTTATAACTAGTTTAGGTAGTTTGAGAGGTAATTAAAATAGCTACAGTAAGGGTGGTGATCTGACTTGAAGTGTGTGTTTTGCTCCCGCTGCTTCACAGCCGGAGGAGCTGCGTGTCTCCGTCCTGTCAGATTACACTTCACTCGCGTATATGTTCATATCGAGATAAAGATAAATAATCTGAATTCAGTGTGCAGTGTACTTTTGCGGGGGTGAGCAGCAGAGGTGGGGAGAGGCGGGGAGAGGCGGGGCTATGAAACGGGTGACCGTATAGGCGACCCCACGGCCCCGTTGGACCCCCCAGAGCGCTCCGTTCCCAGATCTATCCACCTTTGGACCCGTTGTCGTTTGCGGGGTCTGTTTCTACGTTTCTGTTACGGCGTCGTCGAGCTTAAAGGGCTATACGCATGAGAAATATCCGGATTCAACCCGTTTTCGTCCTCGTGGAGCCTAGGCCTCATTGTGTTAACTCATCAGCGAGTAGGGTTTTGCATCAGGCTGGAAAACAAAGCAGGCTCAAGGGTACAAACGTGCTGTAACCTTTCAAGATAAAGCAACGTAATGACACAGAGTCAACAAGAGGACATAATGTAAAGACGGCGTTTTAAAAGTTTACGACGAGAATTCTGGACTGTGTGGCAATAAGTATGTGGACACATGAACATTACACTCATTTGTAATTGTGCTCCCATCATAGCATAGCATCACTCGTTGTTTTCTATACTGTTTGAGTTTGGCATTCTGATTGTTGCCATCTTAGTTTTTAGCTGTCTCTGTATTTCAATTTTGAAGACGGTCGAGCAACCAAAGGCAGAACAAGATTTTTTTTGTGGGGGAACATAATGTTACAATTAACATCCATGAATTAAAAGGACACTCTGAAAGAGATAAAGCTATAAGACGATGAACCAGACAACACACAAAGAGGACATGCTGTAGTGGCGACCTGTCAATCACAGTGTAACCCCGCCCCAAAATAAAACCCTGTCTATTTAACTCTAAGTTGTACCATCAATTACAAAATTAACTTCATGCATGTTGAAAAAGACTTGACATTTGTAATTGGGTCTATAGTCTTATGTTCCCAATGTTTGCTGAGTTAAATAAAGTAAGAAGTCGGGTCATTTTTTCAAAGACTTCTATTCCTCAACGTCCTTCCTCTTACGTGTCAACCTACCTGGTAAAAAACCCATTCTAATTCAATCAAAAAAATGTTTGCAACCAGTGGAATTTCTCCTGCTGGTCGTTTGAAGTAATGCACCTTAAATGCACTTCAACTTTGGCTTCACTTGACTTGATCTTAAAAAACAGTTGGATAGGATGCAGGGCAGTCACGTTTGTTCATGCAATCACACTATTTATTGCCTAAAATATCTTTGTGCACTGAAGCATTATGATGTTGTTTAATTGGAAATCGGTCACAAGAACAGTCCCTTATTTTTGGCCACATTTCCCAACCATTCCCCAAGCTGTTGGAGAAGAAACAGCCTGCAGTTTGCAAAAAGCACATGACTCTTAGTAAAAGGCTCCATACATAAAGAGGATTCTATGTCTATTCTAGTAATTTCTTATCGGGGATCTTGCTGCTTTTGAAATGGAAAGGAATAGAGGAACAGAGGGAGAGTGAATTCAAAAAGCTTTTGGATTAGCTCTGCATTATATCCACAGATCAGGTTCCTCACTTACCTCTGCCTGTCAAACCTAGAACCGTGAAATGTGGTATTCAAAGGATAAGAGAGTATTAATAAAGCTGCTGTCAGGATGGGAGACACGTCTTTATTAGCAAGCGTCCTCCATGAAAGGAAGTGTTTGTTTAATGAAGTGTTTATTAGAGAGGAACGGGAGGTATTGTTTGTGGTAATGAACTGTCTTTGTGTTTCTGTCACTCCTCTGAAACATAAACATTAACATCCAGACATGTCTATCGTTGTTTATAGCAGATAGACGTATTGCTTTAGCCGTTGGTACGTCCTTATTTATCCTTTCATATTATGATCAATCTTTTTTTGCTATCTAAAATGATAATCCATACTCTGTTCTGCATCAAGACACACAGTCGTGTTAATACACTTTGGCGCGTATGTGTGTGTGTGTGTGTGTGTGTGTGTGTGTGTGTGTGTGTGTGTGTGTGTGTGTGTGTGGCTATCCTTGTGGGGACCTAAATCTGTTTACACAGTCACGTGTGGGGACTGGCTTCCCTTATGGGGACAACATGGGGGTCCCCATAAGGGGAATCAGTAATTTTAGGGTGAAGACTTGGTTAGGGTAAGGGTTAGGGTTAGGGTTAGGGTTAGGGTAAGGGTTAGGGTAAGGCATGTGTTGGTTAGGGTTAAGGTTAGAATAAGTCTCCAGGAAATGCATGTAAGTCAATGTAATGTCCCCTGAAGTAATGTATACATGGTATGTGTGTGTGTGTGTGTGTGTGTGTGTGTGTGTGTGTGTGTGTGTGTGTGTGTGTGTGTGTGTGTGTGTGTGTGTGTGTGTGTGTGTGTGAGATCAGTGGTCTCGTTATGTTGATGTTCCTTGGTGAATATTTAATTAAAACAGAGCAGTGCTGTTGCTTTGAGGCTGAGGTAACAGGCAGGTTTTCCACCGTGGATTGAACAGAGCAGATGGTTGGCTGCTGGCCGACAAAGATACTGTCCAGATCTCTGTGGTGTGTGTGTGTGTGTGTGTGTGTGTGTGTGTGTGTGTGTGTGTGTGTGTGTGTGTGTGTGTGTGTGTGTGTGTGTGTGTGTGTGTGTGTGTGTGTGTGTGTGTGTGTGTGTGTGTGTGTGTGTGTGTGTGTGTGTGTGTGTGTGTGTGTGTGGTGGTCGCACAGATTGCTACTGTTGGATCCCTGTCTGCTGAAGCTGGGCGTCCACAGCATGACAAATGACTAAATATAGACATTATTCCGTTATCATTTGTGGACTAATTAGCAGAAATCCCAGAAAATATTGTTGTGAACTTGTTTCTGTGTCGCTAAAGGGTGATTAACTTTCTGTTCATCTTATTTTATTGAGCTTATTTTATTGTTGAGATAAAAAGATCGATTTATTTCAAAAAATCCAGGTTGTACACTTAGAAAGAAATCTTAACGCAGTACAAATATACACCTTTTTTGTAAAAATGTACCGAGGCAGAGTGAAATTAATCTTCCACTTTTAGAAATCGGTGTGATGCAAGATAGTCGGATTTGAATGCATTAAAGAGCTGGAAAGAAGCGTAGGAAAAGAGAAAGGAAAAAAAATTAGATTTCCACAAGCGGTGGAAACTATTCTGGTGGAAAGATAGAGGAATGAGTAGGTCGAAGGTTCAGAGTTGCACAGAAATCCCACATTCCCTGACCATGTGTCACCCTCTCCTCAGGTTTCCGATGGTACCAGATAACTCACCTCTCTCTGTCTGTCTCTCTCTCTCTCTCTCTCTCTCTCTGTCTTTGTTTTTCTTTTCACATTCAGTCCGACAGGAGGCTTATTGCACTCACGTTGGCAGACACTGTTTACCCTGTGGCATTTTCATAGTCCTTCTGAGAATCACACTGAATTTAATTTCATGAGCCTCAAGCTGCCTCTGCTGAGACAAATCCAAACAACAACACTTTCCATTTCACTCATGCTGATTTTTATTTCAGGTTTGTTGTCATATGTGCAGCAGCATTTAGATTAGTTCATCTAACACGGGGGTGTCAAACTCAAGGGCCGCTGACCAAATGCGGCCCGTGAGTTCATTTGATGTGGCCGGCAAGAGCTTGCAAAGATTATAATACGTTTATTATACGCTTACATGCTGCTTTACAGAAGCACGTTGCCCATAAACTACATGTCCCACAATGCATCTTATTTTGTGACATGATCTAACACATTGAAAATAATACAACACCAAGAAAAGAGAACTCCTTCCAGATCTTTCCTTGACTCCCTGGTGTTGATCAGCTACCTGACCAACGGGCTGACGTCTCTCGAGCGTTTCCCCATCAGCTTTAAAACCCAGTTCTCCGGACACTGCTTCCACCACGTGGTTCTGGGCGTTTACTGCAACGGGCGCTACGGGTCGCTGGGCATGAGCCGGCGCCCCGACCTGATGGACAAACCACTGACTCACCGCACGCTGGGAGAACTGGTGGCCGACTTCGAGAGCTCCTACAAGAGATACCAGCACACTCTGAAGAAGGTGAGAGAAGGGTTGGAATCACAGTCAATAACACTTCATACCATATTGAAACTTTATTTATATAGCACTTTTATCACACAAGGGTTACTCAAAGTGCTTCACAAACCAGACACATAGACATTTACAAATAAAAACAATACCATCTCCCCCTCCCAGGTAACACTTCATACCAATGCACGCCTGAATAAAACAGGAACTAAATAAAATAAGAATAAAGCACAATTCAGTAAAAAAACGTGTCTTTTCCCCCTTCCTCTCCAGGTGAAGATCGGCCTGTACGTGCCTCACGACCCTCACGTCTTCCAGCCAATCGAATGGAAGCATTTGGTGTTGAACGCCGCCCGACTGGGACCTCAGGAGATGAGGAAGGAGCTGGAGAAACACGGCCGGGACATGAGGATGAAGGTATAAACTCTATGCACATATTAACATACACCTTAGGGTTTTATAAAAAAGTTATTCATCCCGTAATCTAATATCCAAAAGAATCATACTTCTTGGTGTTTTCCTCGATGTGGTTCACTGACGCTTCGGATAAGAACACTAAACAAAAGCTTAATGTTCAGAACCTGATACTTGCTTTCATTACATTACTATACTACATTACATTCAGTTAATGCTTTTATCCAAATTGACGTACATACACTTTGTAGACTTAGCTCTTTGGAGTGGGGGTTGAACCAGCGACCCTCCGATAGACGGTCGTTTAACCCCTGAGCCACATTCTCCCTTTTATTAGTAGAGTTGTCTAAATTACATTTCCCTGATAAATAACACTCCCTTTTCTTAACTTCACAGCCCACCTATACACCATACGTTTTAACAGTGTATATATGTACCAGGATCATAAATAAATAAAAAATACAAGTGAATAAAAAATGTACATTTCCCTGATAAATAACACTCCCCCTTTTCTTAGCCTCAGCGTAGTTTTTGTTAAAAGCATGCCGCCTGAAGGAGGGGAAGAAACTTTGCAGCATGAGAAACACACACACTGCACACACTCCACATAACAGATGGTAACAACTGGAGTATTCAAAGGAGTGCGTCAGAACGTGAAACCGTTTTTAGCCGTACAACAAATGTAGTGTTTATTCCTGTCCGAAGAATACAAACATGTTATTTAACAGTTCAATACAAAAGACCAACATGCCTCTGTGAATCAGATCGAGGAGGCCACATATGACCTTTATACAAATAAATGATTTACCAGTTTGTTTAAAAATACACTCTCAGGATGTACACAGTTACTATACAGCAGGGGTCTCAAACTCAAGGCCCGGGGGCCAAATCCGGCCCGCGACTTCATTTTATGTGGCCCCGCAAGAGCTTGCAAAGAATATAATAAGTTTATTATACGGTTACAGAAGCAGGTTGCCCATAAACTACATGTCCCACAATGCATCTCATTTTGTAACATGCACACTGAAGAGACTTGCAATTATTTGCCCTGGACTTCTGCTTTCAGACGTAGTTAATTGCTAAGTTATTATCCTATCCGATAATAATCCATGCAGAGGCAATAATGTAATATAATACATTATTTTATATATTTATTATATATTTATATAGTTACAACCGGCCCTTTGAGTGCAACCTTTATGCGAATGTGGCCCGCGATGAAATTGAGTTTGACACCCCTGCTATACAGGGTCACATGTGTTATATGTTCTGTAAGTAACTCGATTCAGCAAATTGACTTAATGTTCTCCTAAATGTGACTCAAACCTGATTAGATCTATTTAACCCGGTTAGCAGGTTCCAGCCTGCGTCTGTCAGAACGTTATTTTCATATTGAACCTTTTCACATCGTTTTTTTTAATAATATTTATTAGTTTTTATTCATCTCGATATAGGCAGTACTCATTTTAATTTAAATGCCTCAGTCTGGTCTTAAGTTTAAAGTTTTAAAACCAAGTTTTCTTCTCGTGGAATGACCCCAACACTCCGATGGAAACACTTTTATTATATCTTTCCATGAGACCAGAGATGGATGGAGTTTCCTTCACGGCGAACATGGAATACAAACCGTCAGGAATGATTTAGGGCATGATGGGGAAGGAAGGAATGGTGTGTGTGTGTGTGTGTGTGTGTGTGTGTGTGTGTGTGTGTGTGTGTGTGTGTGTGTGTGTGTGTGTGTGTGTGTGTGTGTGTGTGTGTGTGTGTGTGTGTGTGTGTGTGTGTGTGTGTGTGTGTGTGTGTGTGTGTGTGTGTGTGTGTGTGTGTGTGTGTGTGTGTGTGTGTGTAAGAGGGGGGAGACTCAGGGAAGTAGGTTGAATGAGGTTAAATGTTTTATGAAGCCAAATGAAAGTGGTGTGTGTGTGTGGTTATGTGTGAGATGCTGGTGTTGTGGTGACAGTGGTTCTGTATATGGAACGCCTTGCATGTCAGCAAGATATGTAGGTCAGGGAGTTTGCAGCTGTCACACATGGCTATAAAAACACACACACACGCACACACACACACACACACACACACACACACACACACACACACACACACACACACACACACACACACTCAGCCTGTGGTCAGCTGTGTGGTACTTTGTTGGACCGTTGTGCTATCATCTCCACTATTCTCCAGAGAATAAGAAGTTATTATAGACGTAGAACTAGTGGAGTTTCAGACTTTGACACTCGGGTCATTTAGTTTGCTCCCCTCTCTTCTTCAAAGGTGTGTTTAAGGGTTAAAGTTACCGCTGGGTTCATGTTACAGCCCGTGGAAACGCTCTGCAGTAAGTCATTCACCGTCCCCACGAGCATAGAGGTCAAATATGTGTTATGACAATGAAGAATGTACGGTAACTCGACCAGACTGCCACATCAAGGGCTAGATATAGCATGGTTTACAATTACACACTCATTTTGAGTCACACACACACACACACACACACACACACACACACACACACACACACACACACACACACACACACACACACACACACACACACACACACACACACGAGAGAAACAACACCAGCTGCAGAGTGTGAGCCATTTCCTGGCTTTTGCTTTTTTTTCCGGGAAAACTTGCCATCCGTGTACATGCCGCAGTTTCATTCTTCTTCTCCCGCTGCGTTCATAATGATAGCCTCAACTTGCTATTTAACACACACACACACACACACACACACACACACACACGCACACACACACACACACACACACACACTAAATGCTTTTCTCTCTGCATGATCACAGCAGTTTTTTAAGATCCAGTGAGGATAAAAAAGACAGAAAAACACATTTCTGTTCACAGTCAGTTTGCTTTTCTAGCGTCCCCCTCGTCCCAGTTGCACTCTCTTCCCCGCAGCTAAACGGCAGCAGCAGCAGTTGTTGTTGTTGGCGTCATGCTAGCATATTTGTGTACATTAAAATGCCTGGAAGAGTTCATAGGCTCTCTGTGAGGGTGTTGATAGGAAAGCCAGTGTGTGTCCTGCACTGTTTCCACTGGGTGAATGATTTGTGATGACAACAGAGAAAGTCAAATCGAGCAGAGACGAGACGTTTGTGAGCAAGTGGGAAGATTTGCTGCTCCTATGTTGTTGTTTGATATCATTGTATTCTAAATACCTTTTGGTTTTTGTGTTGTTAAACTGACCGAATAAGGACTTTTGAAGATGACACATTTAGGCTCTTAAAAATGAATAAATCAACATGGATTCTTGGCACTTAGGTCAGAGAAAGACAAGATGAAAGCAGACTTATACACAGCAACCACACATTATTAGGTTGTACATTTAATAAGGATAACATGATGAGTAGTTACACATTCACCACCAGACACATAGCATCCATTTCAACTCACTTTGTTTTTAACTCTGCTTTGGTCTCCACCGACTCCTGAGAATAAGTATTGCTCAGCCACATGTTCCACTTTCTTCACTATCTAATCTCACATTTTGTGTTCTGTAGGTTGAAAGTCAGGTAGTGGACAATGTATCATCAAAGCATTTTGCCGAAAACAGCTGATAGATATCCGGTACATTTCCTTTAAACCAAAAGAAAGAGCAAAAAGGGGCTAAAAGGCTACAGGAGTCAATGATGATGATAGAAAGTGGTTAACCTCGATGTCACTATAAAAGTATTAAAGTGTAGATTATCAGCACAGATATTGATATTAACTTTTGTCGCCTTGTGTGAATTTTTTTCAAAGATCCTCAAATCGTCGAGTGCCCAGTCACCAATCAAGGAGCGGAGCCGCGGGAAATCCTTATCACCACGGCGACGACAGAGCACGCAACGCAGAGACAAATCGTGAGTGTTCTCCATCGTGTGTGTGTGTGTGTGTGTGTGTGTGTGTGTGTGTGTGTGTGTGTGTGTGTGTGTGTGTGTGTGTGTGTGTGTGTGTGTGTGTGTGTGTGTGTGTGTGTGTGTGTCTCTTCTTCTGTCTGATATGCAGCATATGAGGCTTCTGAGTCCATATATGGATTTGTGTTTTATGCAGCATCACAGAGAACATAAACCAAACTCAATAGAGACATCTGGGAATCTGAAACCTTATACAAGATATTTATTATCTCATCAGGAGCTACTCTCTCATTTGGCATTTATGAAGAATAACTAGATTTTTTTAATTATGTTTTTGGTGTCTGAATCCCTTCAAAGAGGTTTTACAAATGGTTGTATTAGTTGAAACCACTTAAGACAATCAAAAAAGGAAACAAAGTAAAGTTTTAACTTTAATATCCCATGGGTTAAGACTCTTGAAAGTGTGTTAAAACTTTCAATTCAAACTCAGATTGAAGGTAGGCAGCCCTTAAAAACACGGTGACTCACCACTCTTGTTCAGTGGCGAGACACACACACACACACACACACACACACACACACACACACACACACACACACACACACACACACACACACACACACACACACACACACACACACACAGGATGATGAGTGTGTGTGTGTGTGCTGTCAGCTGTGTCTCGGGATGTAACACAATCTGACTTGGACAACAGCTGCAGCCCCTACTGCAGAGTCTCCATAATCTCTCTCACACACACACACACACACACACACACACACACACACATATACACACACACACACACACACACACACACACACACACACACACTCTGCACCAGAATTAGTGTCAGTCCCGGTGTTGCCATGTGACGTGACTCAGCGATGACCTTTCTGATGAGAAGCTCCGACAGAATGAACCGTATAATTATTCAGACGGGAGCGCCGCAGGTTTCTTTTCAAGTCAAATGAGAGGTGGAGAGTTTCTTTACTCGTGTACATCTGCTTCTTTTCACTCCAACACATTGTTATTTTAATCTTTGTGAAAGCTAATTGTCTCCTCAGTGCAGAAAATAAACTGCAGGACACATCAGAGCTTCACATTCACTTCTTAAAGCTCCTGAATGTGGCTCTTAAAAAGCTATTACTGTTATCAGCTGAGCTCTTAACAAAGTGTTTCCACTTCAGAGCGACACAGTAATAATCTGTGCTCGTTAGAGAGGGTTGTTCCAGCTGAAGGACTTTATAAGAACTGCCTGCAGGCACACACACATGCAAACAGGTTACATGTAAAAGATACCGTGATTTAACGACTAATTGTACTTTTTTAGTTTTCAAAGGTTTGTGGTCATTTGTTTGAAGAAAGTCCTCTTTGTGGCTGCCATTTAAAGGAGACCTATCATGCTATATTTGAATAATATATTGTAGGACCATACCTATATAAGGTATATTTATACGTTTTCTTTTTCAAAATACCAAACAGATCATGCATTTTAGCCATGCCTCATTTCGCTCTATTTTGCTCTCCTCCACCCTGTCTTTGCATGCGCTGCAGCTGACCACGCCCCCCTGCAAAGGAGGGGGCCGAGTTACGAGCGTCGTGTTACCATGCTGTTACCATGCTGTTACCATGCTGTTACCATGCTGTTACCATGCCACGGCAACCTCTCATTCCCCTGATTGGTGGAGAGTTGGCCATATAGGCGGAGCTCCTCGTCACTGACGTCAGACTATTTTCAAATCTGGATCAGTTTTTATCAGATCCGTTGCAGCCCCTTTTTTTAGAGATTTGGGTATGGAGGAAAATAGAGAGGGTTGTGTTTTCTGACACTTGGTGAGTTCCCTGGAACACCGGGGACACATGTTCATGTAGAAAAGACGTACACAAGTGCATTTTGCATGATAGGTCCCCTTTAATTGAAAATGATGACAATAAAAAAGAAATTAAGGTGTATTTTTATGCTTTACTTCTAATTCATTGCTTTTATATGTAATACTTATTCACAATTCATTAGCTTTGACAACATTTAGTGCTAATTTGTCATTATGAAAATTCCCTGTTTTGATTTCAGCTCTGGGAACTTTACGATGTCATACCCTGAATTGTTAAAAATCATATTATCAGAAAGAAAATGAACCTGTTGATAAGTGCATTTTAAAGAATTGATTAAGCTAAATAACACATTGTTCTCACTTTAGATCAGACACCTGAAAAAGACGTGGTTAAGTTAAGTTCGTAGTTTATTGACTGCACGATAAATGATGCAACTCATAGTCATCGAGAGCTTGTTACAGGAACCTTATTATAAAGCGCTACCAAAAAAAGAATAGGGTTATAAGACATACAATTGTCTTCAAATAAATAATCGGTAACACTTTATATTAAGGTACACAAATTCACCATTAACTAGTTGTTAATTAACATGCATATTAGCAGTATATTGGCTCTTTATTAGTCATTATAAAACACGTATTAATGCCTTATTCTACATGACCATATTCTACAAGTAATAGGCCATTAGTTGAGAACCCTCTTATTTATTGCAAGTAAGGAAGTTGTACATGAGTTGTGGTCTTAATATGCTCTGCTCAATATGGGCCTAATAAGGCAGTAGTACCACAAGAATAGTAATTCTCCCTTAATAACACTTAACAAATCTGATCTGTTCTTATGTAACAAGACATGAAACTATAAGTGTTAATTAAGTCTAAATAACTACAAATTAAGTTTTCTATCTAAGTTAACCCAAACCCCAATATGCATGTTAATGAACAACTAGTTGATGGTGAATTTGTGTACCTTAATATAAAGTGTTACCAAATAATCATTTAAAGGTCCCATGTCATGCTTTTCTGGTTATTACCCGTCCCCTTGTGTGTTATGGAGGTTTCTCTGCATGTGAACGGTCTGCAGAGTCACAAACCCTCACAGTACACCCTGTAGTGAGTAAAACTCTAACACAGAAAAGACCTGTCTATGCTGCCCCAGAACGCCTTGTTGGAGATTTCTCTTTTTCCATTGTTTTCTTCCTGAGTATGGTGACGTGACCATACCCAAATGGACCAATCCGTGGAGCTCCTCACACACCAGGATCCCTTGGCGTCACTAAAGTGGGGGGACCTTTGGCGTCGATTTTCAACTATCAGGGAGTCTTGGATAGAGCTCCCTGAACGTTGGTAATAGACGAGTTGGGATCGCGGAGAAACACTCACTCACTGAGTTTCGCCGTGTCTCGCAGACCCCACGCAGCAACCAGGAAACGACACCAGTAACCCAGCTCACACTGTCCGCTCCTCGAGCCTCAAAGGGCGGAGCAGCGAGCCCCGCAACGTCCCGCCAACACGGCACCCAGACCCCACGCAGCATTCCCATCTGTTTGTCATGGTGTCATTTCCTGGTTGCTAACAAACGCCATTGTAACACATAATCACTGATGTTAGAAGTTAGAGCGATGCAAGATGACAAGAACAGGACGTAAAGGAGAGAGGGAGAAATAAAGGAGAGGACACGGGTAGAGAGGGCAAGAAGAAGAGAAGGAAAGGATGAAAGGAAATGTGAGAGAAGACAGGAGAATAAAGATGGAGAGAAGACAGAAACATGTAGTGGAAAAGGCAGAAAAGAGAAAGTGAAGAAAGAGAGAAGGAGGAATGAAAAGGCTTCAGCTCCACATGTTGGCCTCAACTAATCAACTCTCCTCCTGATGTGTCAGCGAGAGAGCTTGTAAGCGACCTTCGAAGCACAAATTGCTGAAGAAAGTGAAAAAGGGATGAAGAAGAGAGGGCAGGAGAAGAGAGAGAGAGAGAGAGGATTACATCTGATGACTTTTAGAAACTCTCACAGAGAAACTTTCCCATTCTCATTTTCTGCACGTCTTCAGTTTAAAGAGAGCACTGCAGAGATCTGGAGTAAACAAACAGAGAAGGTTTATTGAAGATGTTCTGGAAGCAGATTCTACCTTTTGAAACGAGCTGAAGATAAGTCTGGAGCTTGTAAGCAAAACAAATAGTTTGTTATCTTAAGAAAATGGCTTTTAATCCTATTTTTTGTAAGTTTTTTCTGTCTTCTTCGATTCTAGTGGTGCATTGCTTATAGATGAGAGGAACACATGCGTCACTTCAGGGCAAAAATGACGGCTCCGCCCACTTTTGGGGGAAAACAAAGCTGTCCTTTGAATGGCGGTCAATTCAAATTCTGAAGTTTTTGCCAATCCGATCAGAAATGTAAGAAAACCGTGGATTTTTGGATCTTCAAAGAGCCCGATCACGATGGCCAGACAGGCGAACAATTACATTAAATCATTGGAAATCGACGATCGGGCTCGATATATATAAAAAAGCAACCAATCAGATATTTCTCTGGGTCTCTGGGTAGAATATCCTTCAACAAGGTATTCTATATCCTTGATAGAAGGCTTTGGCCGTTGCACTGAATGAGAGCGCACGTTTGGATTGACAGTTTGATCAACCAATCATATATTGATTTGTAGCCAATGAGCGTATTCTTTCAGAGTTTCCCTCGGTTCCAGGGTACTCTAGAAGACCCGGTAGTTCACTGGCTCGAGACAGAGGACCTAGATAAATGCGACGAAGCAATTCATGCCGTTTTATACGTTGAAATGGCAACAGGTGAAGATGATGTTGTCAGTACCCTTTTCAAGACGACAATTCAGTGAAAAGACGGACATTATAACGCCGGGGTGTCTGTGTGTCTACAGAAGGTCCAGTTGTGATAAACCTGATTGTGTCTGTGTTTCAGGCCGGCCTCGGTGGACAGGAAGCCTCCGGAGCTCAGCACTCTGAACGACGGGTACCAGATCCGCATCTGACCCGTCCTTCTGCTCCTCATCGTCAAACATCCGTCCACTGGCGAGTCATTTTCCACCATCACGTGTTTTCCAGGAGCTGGATCATGGACACACACACACACACACACACACACACACACACACACACACACACACACACACACACACACACACACACACACACACACACATACACACACACACACACACACACACACACACACACACACACACACACACACACACACACACGAAACAGGAGGAACTTCTAAAAGCTGAGACTCAGAGAAAAGAGAGTGACTGGAAGGAATCCTTCATCATCATCATCATCATCATCATCATCACACCGCTGAAATTGCACATTTCAATCTGAGGAGAAACGCTCACCCTCTGTCACAAGATCTGAAGAAGTGATACCAGCGTATTTCTAGATTTCCAACATTTCAATCAACTGGGAATTAAAGAGCCGGGACAACAAAGTGTTTCCGTGACCTCCTCAGTGTCTTAAAGAAGGGCTTCAACAAAACATGAGGGAGAAGGAAGGTAAGATAGATATCCAAATGTTTGTGTGAAGTGGTTTAGAGAGACGGGAAGCCATGGTGGGAATTTGACGACAAAAAAATGTTCTTTTTTTTACAGAACGTGGAAAAAAAACATGTGGTTTTGTCCTGTTATCGTGGAAAAGGATTAGTTATCACTCTACTTTTAAAGCACAATTTCCCTACAGAGAGTTTTGGAACAGGTTTTGTTTTTGTCAGTTTTCCAACATGGCCGTCGTTCAGCCTGCAGGGAGACAGGCGTCTGTAGGAAGCAGGTTCACAGCTCAACGTGTTGTTTTCTCACTTTATTCTCACACACTCGCTCAGTTACAGACGCAGAAAGGGCTCAGTGAAGCTCCTGGAGTAACGTTTTAGTTACACTTTGACTTAAGAAGACGAGTAATTACACTTCCAGGTGGTATTGATCACATTAGACGAGTGTGGAATAAAGAGAGGACGAGTGATGGAGGATGGAGGAAATCAAAGGGGTGAGAGAGGGAGAGGATTCACAGCAGGAGATCAGATCATTAGAGCACTGCGGCAAACCTCCTGCACCCCCCCCCCCCCTCCTCTTCCTCCTCTTCGTATTCTCCTCTTCCTCTGCCCTCTGTTGACAGATATCTGAATACATAAACACTGCTTTCCAGGAAACATGGAAAGAGTCCATCTCAGTACAGAGGAGAGGCAACAACTTCATTTCTTCATCTAGATTTTAAACAGCAGGTTTTTTAATTACTGACCTTCTAATTGGGACCTGGAGACACTTGAGCGCCCACTTTACTTTTTAAGTGATATCAACTAAATCAGTTAAACTAAATTCTGTTACTTTTATTTCAATTCTTTCAATTTTCTCTTGCTTTTTTTGGTGTAAATTGGATACCTTCACCTCTTTAGAACTCTCCAACCCACTCCAATGTCCACACTGAACTTATAACCTTTGGTTGCAAGTGGGAACAAATGGGGAACCACTGATGAATGAAACCAGTGGTTATGAGAGGCCTGAAGAAGTGAACGTATCCACTATGACACAAGACTTTACTTATGGCGCATTTCCACTGCAGCGCGTAGCACGGTTTAAGCGTGCCGTGCCAAACCCGGCCCGTTTTTGGTTGCGTTTCCACTTGGCGTAGTTCCGGCTAACGGCTACTTTTTCACAGTTTTTCTGGCTCTCCAAAATCGTGGTTCTTTCCGGGCCAACAAACAGGGCTGAGTCGGGCTGAGTATGCTAAACTAGAGAGAGAATCGCTGGCAAGAGGGCTACAACTACAACAAGATGAACATATTTGACCGTGATTAAATTGTAATACACGTTTCAAAATGATGCCGAAGTAACAACATACTGATACCGGTTAGTAAAAACCATGAATTAATGCTTTGTCAAGTCTGCAGACAGACGGCAGGCGAAACACCTTTTAAAATGCGTGTTGTCTAAATGGAGATTGGCTAAGCTAACGCAGTATATGCTCCAACCGTCCACACTCACAACAACGGCCTATACAGACATAAATAAGGCAGCGACTGTATTCACCATGACACAGGCAGTCTGTGGTTTGTACTTGTTTAACTTTTGTCTAGTTTCTGAACAGATATGAGGAGCTGTGAGCTCTGAGTGCTAACAGCTAACGGCTGATGTTGGTTTTGTGGTTCGCATTGAAGATGACTTCACGGCTCCGCCTACACTGCGTTACTATAGTTACTGCCCCAGCTACTAAACTGAGCCGACCAAGGCCTAACTATACCGTACGAAGCCGAGCGAGGCCCTGCAGTGGAAATTAGTGTTACAGTTCTTCATCTTTTCTCATCTCATCCCCTTCTTGTCACTCAGTTTTTAAAAGTACTAGAACAACAATAAACACATTACCTAAGATTCAAACATGAATGAAACAGCAACAACCACAACACAGTTATTTAAACATAGACAGAAATGTGTAGGACAGGTTTAGCGTCTCACTAATGGACCTTAAGAAGTTTATACTGTATTATTTACCAAAAATCAATCACTAGCATCTCCAACAAGTATCAGAAGGCTGGAGGAGCTTCATATGTGATGACTAAACCCACCTGTAGCCCACCATGTGATCACAGTGAACACACAGCTGGAAAATACAATCATCCAGCTGTTCGTCCACTCAGACAAAGGACGAGGAGGCAGAGAGTGAACGCTCTGAAAAAGACTTTGTGATATCAGAGTGGATGTTAGAGATCAGGGATGCACGGTCAGCACTCTTTAAAAGCTCCAGGATGATATTATCTGGCCACGAGTTGACGAAACCAGACAATATATTAGAGTTTTGTCTCGTTTAAGACTCAACGATGGATGCTTTTGTGGTTAGACAGAAATGTAAAATGTCAAAGTGTTTGGTCATGCAGGTTTTCAATCAGTTACTCGTGTTTTAAGATCATCGCAGGAACGAATAAGAGTCAGGAAACCGTGAGAGTTATCAGAACAGTTTGTTCCAAGTGACCTGTTTGTACTGAATGCACTGCGTCTCACTTGACGTATCATGAGGATTGTCCAAAAAGATCTAATCAAGTTTCATTTCGATTGTTTGTTTTTTGGACTCTCTTGTCGAAGCCTTCTGTGAATCTCAGCTGAAACGCTTGAAATCAAAGAAGCTTGAATTCTCCGGTCACGTGTCCAGTTTGAAACTCATAGTTGGTCATTTTAAACCTTTCTGATTTAAACGCTTGAAAAGATGGTCGGATATATCAAAGCCAGACAAAACAGTTATTTCACAGAAACAGACATTCAACACAGACTGTACTTGGACATATATCTACGTTTATTTATGTCTGTTACATCCACAGAATGTACTGTACAGGTCTAAGCCTTCAGCGAACAACTACACAAGTCAGTTAAATACAAAATAAAACACATGTTTATGTACAAACAGCCCACCAGCATTATTCATTACATTTCATTACATGTTACTTGTTAGACGCTTTTATCCAAAGCGACTTACATACTCAATACTGTGGGGTGAAGTGTCTCAGGGACACAACGACATGCTGACTGCAGCGGGGTTTGAACCTGTGACCACCTGATCCGAACACCAACGCTCAACCCACTGCACCACACGCCTCCGCATCTCTAAGGGGTTTGATGCCTTCCCTAAGGGCTTTTAGAGAGAGTTAAATCCATGAAATCTACTGACGTCTGTAGTTCGTATCTGAAGGATTAAATCTAATGGTATTTCCCAAAATGAAGATTATCTTTGTTCAATAGGGCTGCACCGGACCATGAGAGGGCAACCGTAAAACAAAACAAAAATGAAAAATCGAAATCCTTTATCAGTGTCTGCGACAAAGGACAATGTTTGAGTTCAAGTAGTGGCAATAATGTGCCAAAAGAAGCCAAAACATACGAGCAAAACTGCTATCAAGCAAACCTGGATGTAAGTGAATAATAGAATACGTTAATTGATGATTGGTGAACGTTCTCTGCTGCCACGTTGTGATTTAAACAAAGTGTATGTGTGACCTGGTGCAGCTTTAACGTCATATCACCTGGAGCAAAGATAATCATATCTGTGAAGTTTTGGGGATAAAAACACGTTTGTTGTTTTCATCGTCACTCGAGATCATGAGGATGTGTGTGTACGGACTGTTTCTGAATATCGTCATCTGATGGTTTTATGGCTTTTCTTTGAATGTTTCTCGTTGCTTGTCGCTCTCAGAACATCAAGTGTGTGTTTTGTTGCCGACTGAACATCCGAGCTTTTGGTTTCCACAACGAGCTATGCACACAAACAAATCTGTGTCTTCCACAATTCAAACCCTGGAGGAGGAAGGTGTTTGTGGCTCCATCTACTCAACAACATATCTCATTTTAAAACATCTGTACAGAGAAAACACCTTGGACAGTTAGACGTATCCTCTATGCCAACAACTGTTAGCTTTTAGCATTCGCTCTGGGTGCAGAGAGGGAAAGCAGAACACATTTAGTTTACATGTTTCTGATGATGATAGAGATCTGACTCAAAGCAACCAGCGCAACATGTTAACATTTCTATTAAAACGTTGTAAAAGTCGGTGTTTGTTAGCATTCACAAGAAGCACAAAGCAGCTTTTGAAGTATTTAAATTCCTATTTGACACCGGTGTGTGTTGCGTCCACTTGATGGAGTTCATTGTTGGAGCTATATTCATGGAGATGCAACTGTTACCACGGACCTACACTTCATAATGTTTGTCAACGCACACATGATCATGGAAACTTTTAAGACTGAAGACAATGCAGTTCTGGGGATTTTATGACTCTTCAGCAAGGACACGAAAACAGGACCTGAAACAAATAAACTCCAACGTAGCGACACTTCTGTGCTTGATCATTTATATTATTGAATGTTTTTGTTTTGGTTTGAAATATGATTCAGTTTGTGGTTTTGACTTCTCAAATCTGTTGTATGGAGACATTTGGGTTTGAATCATTGATTGTACTCTTATCATTTTGAATGAGAAGCGTCTGTTTAAAGAAAGAAATACACCTTGTAGTAGCGGGTGTGTTTTTTGATGGCCTTTGACTTGTTTCCAAAGTGCTGATATCTCGTTTCTCAACTCCACCTCGGTCCTGAACTAATGTGCTGCAGTCTGTTGGAAATGTCTCCACGCTGGATC